TCCCTTCCCGGCTGCTGGCAGGTCACAGCATGAGGCGGGAGCTGGGGGCGGGGGCGGGCACCCTGGCGGTGAGGGGACGGCGGACCCTGGGCTACACTGGACAGTGTCACGGGGACAAAACCAGCGACCAGAGGAGAAGGGGTGCAGGGGGTGGGGCCTGCTGCTATGGGCAGTGAGTGGGCGGGGTGGGGGCGCTCAGGCCAGGGACCCTTGTCTGTGTCAGCCCTGGGGAAGCTGTGTCAGGGCCTCGCCCGGCGGGAACCGCATTCGGGCCTGGGCGGAATTTCTCCTCAGGGTTGTGGGCTCGGCAGGAGGCTGGGTGCCGAAGCAGCTGTGGTTCCCAGTTCTGCTCAGGCCCAGGTCACCCTCTTGCACCTCCACCCCTCGGCCAACTCTTCACATGCCCAGGTTGGCGTTGGGGGCAGCACCTGCGGGGCCCAGGCAGGACGTGCTGTGCTGTGCGGTGCTCTCTGTGGGATGGGCCGGGGGTCTCCCGATTCCACTGACAACGTTCTAGACCCGACCACTCACAGGAGCAGGGCCTGCTGGGGGCGGCAGGGACCAGGCAGGTGCTGCCTGCAGGGACGTATGTTGGACCCTGGCCTGAAGCCCATGGTCGCCGCGTCAGCACCCAGCTGAGTTGTGGCCGGGTGGTGGAGATGGACGGATCCGCATGGGGGGACGTCTGGGTGAGGAGGTGACTGTTGGGGCCCATCGAGGCAGGGGAACTCTCCCCCAAGTGATGGGCCTGGGGGAGAAGAGCGAGGAGACCCCAGAAAGCTGCCTACCCTCCTCTAAGCATGCGGTCTCCCTGCTGTGGGTCACCCAGACCAGCAGTGCCCGCCTACTGACACGCCCTCTCCTAGATGTCGGGGGACCCCGCCCTCTGGTTCTCTGGCCTGAGTAGGGCAGCCAGGAGGCTGGGTGGTCGGCAGTAAATGGTCTCCATCTGGGGCACCCCTAGCCCAGCTGGAGGATGAGGGGGGAGGGCTAGAGAAGCTCAGCTTAGGGGAGTCTGCCTGGGGGTGGGGGTCTAGCGCCGCAGGGTCCGAGGGGTCCCCGCTACTGGTGGCCATGCCCAGGGCCAGAGAAAGAAGAAAGTTGGGGTACCTGGGAGCAAGGACTCCTTCCCAGCCCACTGCGACTAGCGTGACTGTGGTGTGGGGGGGGGAACAGGAAGTGAGGGCAGCCCCCTGAGAACAGACACTGAGCCCCTGTGTCTGTGGTGAAGGCAGGGTTGTGGCACCAGCGTCCGGGTTTTCTCCCCCTCATGGCGTCTCTCATACCAGGTCATGGAACCTTTGAGGCCTGGCTGAGGACCGGGGGTCTCAGAGCCTGGGCAGGGTGCTGGCCATCTCTGCTTGGACACTGAGATGGCCATCTCTGCTTGGCCATCCTGGGGCGATGCGGAGATGGGGCTGCCTGGCGGGCTCCGCCCTCCCTCCCTGCCTGGGGCGTCTCCAGGGTTTGTCGGGTTTCACCTACTGAGTGCCGCGTTGTTCACGGTTCCTAGTTGAGGGCTCGGGGTGGCAGAGCCGTGGGGAGGGCGCGTAGCTGGCCCAGGCCCCAAACTCCAAATGGTTCCCTGAGCCTGCCACAAGTAAGTTCCTTGAGCACCGCTGCCTGTGACCCTAAAACCAAAATTCCTGATCGATCCTTCCGTCCTGGACGGGGGTTTCAGAGCTAAAGCGACAGAAAACACCCAAACACCCGACCCTAACCCTGTCACAGAGACAGACGGCGCGGAGTGGAGGTCCCCCACGGGGAGGGTGCTGGGTGAGAGGGCAGGGGAGCCCTCCGGGAGCGTGTCCCAGGGGTCACGGGAGAGGCTCGTGCCCGTCCCGTGCAGGGTGCACCCCAGGACTGGCGAGAAAGAGCCGCTTCTCTGCCCAGCCAGGCCGCGCCTTCCAGAGGTGCCCCAGACTCGCAGGGGAGAGGAGAGACGGGGGAGGCGCCGGGCTGAGGGTGACGCGGAGGCTCGGCCCCAGGAAGGGCTAATTACAGTGCTGCGAGTTCTCTAATGACAGAGCCCGGCTCCTTGCAGGGCTGCTTTGAGTGGGCTCGCCCTCCTGGCACCCGGCTCCCAGGATTCTGTGACTCGCCGCAGCCCCCTCTCGTTGGGGGATCTGAGTGTTGCTTCCTGCGTGGAATCTGCCCTGATTTCCAGCCAGTGCGAGTGAGCGGGATCCCGTTTCCATAGCGTCCTGCGAGATGCCACTCCTGCTGCTTAACCGTGCTCGCCCTCGTCTCCCCAGCTGGCCCGGAAGATTCTGAGAGGCTTGAGCTTGTTTATTCCTGTCTGTACGCTAAGCGCCATGCACGTAGTAGGTGCCGGTGAACCTTTGCTGGAGTAAATGATGATTAGTCGGGGCAGTGAGACCTGAGAAAAGTCAAGATTCCTGAAACCAGGAAGGCAGGATCATAATATTCAAAATCCCAGACACCCCCACCCCCAGCACGCCCACACACACACACACACACACACACACACACAGCTGCCACACAACTGAAGAAACTAACCCGGTGCATTCTCAGCCTGAAACCTCCCCTTTCAGGACACACCTGCAGTGAGGAACCCTGAAGCTTGGGCTCTATAAGGTGCATGGGATTAAGGATGGTGAAGAGACGGGGGCATGACCAGGACAGGGCCACTGCAGTCAGTGGGACGCTTCCTGCCTTGAAGGCCACTTTCTGAGGGCCAGAGAGCTCAGGGTTAAGGCATTTGCCTTGCATGCGGCTGACCCTGGTTCAGTTCCGGGCACCGGGAGTGATCCCTGAGCACTGCTGGGTGGCCCCCCCCAAACAGAAAAGGTCACTTCTGTAGGGCCACAGGTGGCTGAAGATACTGTTTGTGGAGCCAGGACGTCTCCTTCTCTTCTTCATCACCCCACGTGGCCTTAGTTCAAGAACCCCCGAGATGCAGCCAGGAGTGAGACCTGTGACCTTAGAACTCTGACCCCAGGCTTCGGCTTAGCCTTGGATGCTGTGCCGGCCCAGAAGGACTTTCCTAGGGGTGCCTTGGGAAGGAAGAGAGCAGCAGAATATGGAGAACAGCCCACCCCTCCCCTCCCCCATCTCCCAACTCCCCCTCCCCTGTCCCCGGTCCCCCCCCCGGCCCCACTCCCTCACCCCATCTCCATCTCTTCGCCGTTTCAAGTGCCCTCGGTTTGCCCCCAAGTTTGCATTTCAAGGTGACTCGGCCAGGTCACTCACATTGCCCCAGGGCATCTGCCTGGCCCGTCTGCCTGGCAGCACTGCCTGGCACCGTGCAGAAATAAGCTCTCGTGGTGTAGATGTGGGCACGGCGACAGGATGGCTGGCTGGGGCCTGGCAGCAGCCGCACTCTCATTCACAGTCACTGGTCATGTGACTGACAGGGGGGATGGCACCGCCAAGGACAGGCCGGGGGGCTGGCAGTGGACCCAGGGCTTGGGGCATTCAGAACCGGCGTCGCCCTTCAGATGGAGCGTTGGAAGCTTTGCTGCAGCCCCACAGGGTGGCACCTGTCACCTCCTCTGAAGTCCAGAGACTCCAGCGGAGGTCACTCACTGCCTGCCGACCCGAGCCGGCTGGCCTGGTCTCGGCTGCCCAGGGCTCCTGGCCTGCGCCCCTCCGCGGAATGACTGACGTCCCCCACCCCCGCGCAGAACCAGCCGCACCCTCGCTTTCCAGATACCGGAGCCCCACCCCCCTCCCACCTTTTTAGTATTTCAGGGTAGAAACAAGTAGAAGTGAAAATTAAATGCTGTCAGATTTAAGTATGTTTCCCTCGTTTTGACTTCATGTAGTTACCAGGGAAGTCACAGCCCCCGTGTTCTGGGTGTTACTCCCGGCCTTGGGCGCCGTGTCTAACCCCGTTGATGATGTGCACTCTTCCTTCAGCGAGGCTGGGGCATGAGCCACGCGTGCCACCACTGACGAAGGATCATCCAGACTCCCAGCAGGGCGTTTGATGTCTTCAGTAGCAGTGGCCTGCAGGCCACCCCAAGCAGGCTTGAGTTTAAGTTTGACCTTCGCCTGGTACGAGTCCCAATAAACTAAGAGCGTTATGGCTCATATTTTGGGTCATTCCTCCATAGCCAGACCACCCCTTTCTTGGGGGAGGGGTGTGGATGGGGGGGTACATGCCTGGCCGTGTTCAGAGGCTTACTCCTCAGGCAGAAATCACTCTTGATGGACTCGGGGGACCATATGAGGTGCTGGGGCTTGGACATCTGTCAGTGGGTCAGCCGCATGCAAGGCAGCACCTGACCCGTTAAATGATGGTTCCAGCCCCGCCCCCACCCCCCACCCCCGGCTCCAGCCGTTCTTAAGTACAGGGGCTTTCGTGAACTTTTTCAAAAACAGGAGTCATGTTCTAATCTTCTGATGCTGCTCTAGGAAGCTTACTCTAGGTGACCTTTCTCCAGGACACAATGCCCTCCTTAACTTGTTTCCTGTGCGGCTGAGAAAATGGAAACAATGTGTATTCTAGACAGCCCTGTTTACTATGTATCCATTCAAGGAGAAAGTCTGGCAGTTAGAAGGGGGAGAGATACTATGTATCCCAAGGGACACTGAGCGGATTTCCGGAATTCACTGGCGAGAGTGAATTCCCCCCTTTAACACCTCAGTGTGCAAAGATGAGAGCGAGTTAGTGTAGCAGAATGTGAAGGCAAGAGGGAAGGACGCTGTGGGCCCAGGACAGCCTGGAGTGGGCAAGGATGTGAGAACCACCTCACAGTGGACACTGGGGCTTGTGCACGAGGACACATGCCACGTGTGGGCAGCCGGAGCAGGAAGGTGGCTGCTTCACAGCCTCTGAAACACCCAAGTCATCACCCGCCTTCAGCTGGGTGTGACCATTTCCGGTGTAGTTTTCCCCTTGGAGAGTGAATGCATTGAACCTTGGCTATCCCTCCCCGCTGCCTAGGACAGAGGGGGTGTGTCCTGGAGGTGGCCCGGGCAGCTGATCGGGGGAGCTCAGGAGGGGAGAGGCGCAGACAGAGAAGAGGCGGCTGTCAGGACACAAACATTTATGTGACTTTCGTCATTACAACAGTAGGTCAGGAATATCTCAAAGGTTACATGGATGTCAGTGTTACAAAAGGAGAACAGAAAAGAGCACCAGAGAACCAGGCGCACCAGGACATGCTTCTTCCCTTCCACGCCGAAGCGAGGCGCTCTCCAGCGACCCCCCCACCCCCAAGCTTCCTTGTCAGCTGTCCCTAACCTGCCGCCAGCCAGCGGGGCTGCTCAGGCCTCCTCCTCGCCCTCCTCCTCCTCGAACTCGCCCTGCTCGTCGGCCGTGGCGTCCTGGTACTGCTGGTACTCGGACACCAGGTCGTTCATGTTGCTCTCGGCCTCGGTGAACTCCATCTCGTCCATGCCCTCGCCCGTGTACCAGTGCAGGAAGGCCTTGCGGCGGAACATGGCCGTGAACTGCTCCGAGATGCGCTTGAACAGCTCCTGGATGGCCGTGGAGTTGCCGATGAAGGTGGCCGACATCTTGAGCCCCCGCGGCGGGATGTCGCACACGGCCGTCTTCACGTTGTTGGGGATCCACTCGACGAAGTAGCTGCTGTTCTTGTTCTGCACGTTCAGCATCTGCTCGTCCACCTCCTTCATGGACATGCGGCCGCGGAAGATGGCGGCCACGGTCAGGTAGCGGCCGTGGCGCGGGTCGCACGCGGCCATCATGTTCTTGGAGTCGAACATCTGCTGGGTGAGCTCGGGCACCGTCAGGGCGCGGTACTGCTGGCTGCCCCGGCTGGTGAGGGGCGCGAAGCCGGGCATGAAGAAGTGCAGGCGCGGGAAGGGCACCATGTTCACGGCCAGCTTGCGCAGGTCGGCGTTGAGCTGCCCGGGGAAGCGCAGGCAGGTGGTGACGCCGCTCATGGTGGCCGACACCAGGTGGTTGAGGTCGCCGTAGGTGGGCGTGGTGAGCTTGAGGGTGCGGAAGCAGATGTCGTACAGCGCCTCGTTGTCGATGCAGTAGGTCTCATCTGTGTTCTCCACCAGCTGGTGCACTGACAGGGTGGCGTTGTAGGGCTCCACCACCGTGTCCGACACCTTGGGCGAGGGCATGACGCTGAAGGTGTTCATGATGCGGTCGGGGTACTCCTCGCGGATCTTGCTGATGAGCAGCGTGCCCATGCCCGAGCCCGTGCCCCCGCCCAGCGAGTGCGTGAGCTGGAAGCCCTGCAGGCAGTCGCAGCTCTCCGACTCCTTCCTCACGACGTCCAGGACCGAGTCCACCAGCTCCGCGCCCTCCGTGTAGTGGCCCTTGGCCCAGTTGTTGCCGGCGCCACTCTGGCCTGCCAGGGGGAAGGAACGCCATCAATTTCGATGCTGGGATTAAATTCCTCCTTAGCAAAAACCTTTAATGTAGGTCAGTGAGTAAGTGTTCAGATCAGATTATTTCCAGCAAAATGGCCAGATGTTAAAATCTTTGGTCGTGGGTATAATTACAAACGAGGAAGGCTGAGGCTCTACCTGGCTATTAGAGGCTGAAGGGCAAGTTGGCATTTTAGCTCCTACATTAACAGGCAACTGGCACACAACTGGAAGTGTTTCCTGCTTCTCCTGGGCTGGCCACTCCCTGCCACCCAAGATGCCCTCCCGATACCCCTGCCTTTGGCCCTGCAACTCACCGAACACGAAGTTGTCGGGCCTGAAGATCTGGCCGAAGGGTCCCGACCTGACCGAGTCCATGGTGCCAGGCTCCAGGTCCACCAGGATGGCCCGGGGGACATACTTGTTCCCTGCGGGCACAGAACTGAGTGAGAGGGGCTGTTGGAGAGGGCTGGGCCGGCTTTCGGCAAACAAAGGACACACAATCACACAATCACGCTTTGAGCTGGGGCGTCGCCCGCTGCAGTGGGTGGGATTCTGTATTCTCCAGCCCACCCTCCTAGGGAACCTCACTCCTGGCGAGCCGTGGGGGGCGGGGGGCGGGGGTGGGGGTGGGATGCAGTTACCAGTGGCCTCGTTGTAGTATACATTGATCCGCTCCAGCTGCAGATCGCTGTCTCCATGGTAACTGCCCGTGGGGTCGATGCCGTGCTCGTCACTGATGACCTCCCAGAACTGAGACACAGAAAGAGCTTGCGGTTTCCACGCGGGAACCCGGGAGAGGTGGAGGAGGGGTGGGGCTGGGGCACCGCCCCCCTCCCCGGGACCCCGGCCAGCTCCGGCAGCCTCCTTAGGCTCCTTAGGGGCTCGAGTGGTGGGCCTGGGGCTGGCGGCGAGCAGAGCTTGTAATTTACGGGTGAAAGTGGAAATTGGGCGTTTCCGGGGACAACAGCTGCGGGGGGCGGGGGGCGGCGGGGAGGGCGAGGAGGCGGGACCCATAGGGGGGTGCGGGCGCCAGTGCTCAGGGTCACAGCTGGGGGCGCCGGCAGCGCGGGCGGGGGCCGGAGGGGGCGCGAGGGTGGTCCCGATGCCCGTCACGTCCCGGACAATTGCGCGCCGCGCCTCCCCTCCCCGGGCGGCTCGGGCGGGAATTCGGATGAGTAATTCCCACCCCCGGGGCCCCTCCCGCGCCCGCGGAGCGCCCGGAGGAAGAGGAGCGCGTGGAAGGGGCAGAGGCAACGAAAGGGGGGCCCCGCCCCGCGCCCCCACGGGACCCCCACGGGCCGCACAAAGCGGCCGCGGGACCCCCGCCGGCGCCCCCCGCGCACCTTGGCGCCGATCTGGTTGCCGCACTGGCCCGCCTGGATGTGCACGATCTCACGCATGGTGCCGGCTCGGGGGGTCCGTGTTCCCTTGCACGCGCCGCGAGGAGCCGGGCAGCAGCTGGGCAGCGGGAGGGGAGCGGCCGGCCGCGGGCGCGCCTTTATAGGCGGGGGGCGGGGCGCGCCCAGGCCCCGCCCCGCCCCGCCCCGCTGACGTAATGCCCGGGCGCGCGGCCAATCGGCGAGGGCCGCGGGGGCGGGGCGCCGAGCGGGGTCCCGGGGGCGCGCCGGCGGCGAGCGCATTGTCTGCGCCGGGACTAAGAGCCGGGTGCGGCCGGCAGGTGCGCGGCCCGCGGGCTCCCGTCGCCCCCAGTCCACCCCCGGACCTCGCACCGCGCCCTCCTCGGGGCCTTGGGAGGGGCCCGGCGCCCCCGGGGAAGCCCCGGGCCGCGAGGGTGCTGGTCGGAGCGCGGGGACCCCGGGTGCAGCCCTCAAGTAGCAGGGAGACAGCTGCGCCCTTCACCCCTGCAGCGCGGGGGGCTGGGCGCCCTCCCTCCCCATCACCTAAAGACCCCTACCTCCTACAACCCCACTCTTCCAGACCCCTACCTCTTCCAGACCCCCACCTCCTACGGACCCCCACCCTTTCCAGACCTCCCCCTGCGCCTGGTCAATCTCAAGTCTCCATCCCTCACCCCACTGCTTTTGTTGCTTGGGAGTGGATGGGGTGGGTGTGGCCCTGCGGGCGATGTAGACGCCTGCGGTGAGGACGGGTGGGCCGGGGGCGGGGCTGCGGAGGAACAAAGGGCTCCGGGATCTTGGGGTACGCGCGTGTGCGTGCTGAGCCCTGAGCTGGGCTACCGCAGTCCCGGCGCGCCCTGCCTCCGGCGCTGTGGTATGAATGAGCCTCCGAGCGCATCACTCGTTCCGACTTCCACGGCTGGGGTGTGGGGAGCAGGGGGTGGGGGACACGAGGCAGGGCCCCCCCCCGGCGCTGTGTACCCCTTCCCGTCTTCTCGGGGCAGGGGACAGGTGGGAGAGAAGCGAGGCTGGCACCTGGGGGGCGTGCCCCCATCTGGGACCTGGTGGGGAGGCTGACAGAGCCCCTTGTCATCTGCGCAGAGGCTGCGGTGGGCGGTGGCGCGAGCCCCTCCCAGCGAGCTGCTCGTCCCCTCCCCTCGCTGAGGGCTGGAAGGGGGCTCGCACTCGCGCACAAAGAGAACAAAAGCTCCGCCGCCCAGCGCCCACCGCGACAGGCTGCGCAGGGGTCCCAGCCAGTGCGGAGCAGACCCCCGTGGGCCACCCCACTCCCACCCGCGCAGAGAGGGCGGCCGCAGCCCGCAAGGATTCTCAAGGTCGAGGGGCCCGGTTGGCTGGAATTCTGCCGTCCTGCTCGGAGCCACGACCTCGCCCTGGAGTGTCAGCACTGCAGACCTGCGTGGGCCACCCCGGGTGGCGTCCAGACCGCACGCAGTGGCCGCCTCTGCGCTGGGCTTCGGATCCCCGGGTGCCCAGCGGAAATGTTCACTCCGCGGTGGGTGCGTGAACAGCGCTTTCCTCCGCCGTCTGCAGGGGGGTGGGGAGTTGCCTGCGCTGGCCGGGTCCTGCGGGTCTTGTCCCCCACTGCCCGTGGGTGCCTTCTCTCTGGCCCTTCCACGCGCAGCTGCGCCCGTCAGGAGAAGGTGCCACACCTTGATTCTCATCAGGTGTGGAGAGGCTGGCAGTGCCACAGCCATGCCTTCAGACGCCCTCGGTTTCTTCTCTTCTGAGACCTTCAGGTGGCCTCCCCGGGCTAGGAGCCAGGGTGCCAAGAGTGCCAGGGTTCCACAGTGCCACCCGGACCCACCTGGGAGCGCAGGCCCGCCCAGCAGGGTTCCTTTTGTCTGACACACCCGCAGCTCCTCCACGCTAGGTCACTGCATGTGCACTGGGCACGGAACTCAGGACAACACGCTTACTCGTGGCTTATGTGCTCTGAGCTCGCCCTGGCCATTCCTAGCGTTCCCTGCCCCGAGTCCATTGCGGAAACGCCCCAGCTTGGAATCGGGCACATGGGTCGCTCCACTGCGGCTGAGGGGCGCGAGAGGGCCCCATAGATGCCAAGTCCTCCCTTCCCGTTTCCAGACCGTTTCAAATGGCAAATCTCATGTTTTTGCCTTTACCCGTCACCCATGGACGGGTGTTTATTGACGGGAAGAGCCTGCTGCCACCTCTCTCGGGTAGACACAGCAGCGCGGCGCACACAGCTCTTGCTAGCACGCTCGTGTGAATTCTAAGACGCGTCGCTTTCCCCATCTTCCCGATCCCCCCCACTCCCCCCTGCACTTCCCACTTCGGATGCAGCCCCGCCTGAGAGCCGCCGTGCGGGCAGTTTCCCGGGCAACCGCCACTTGGCCGGTGAATGGGGAAGGGCTGAAAGGAGCCGGATCCGTCCCCCCTCCCTGCGCTTTCTCTGCGCTTTCTCTCGGTGCTCTCCAGGGGCAGCGCTGGAAAGCGACCAGCCCCCCTGCGTTGCTGCGGAGGAGGCGGCCGCCCGGGGAGGGGGCGTCGAGGAAGGGGCTCCGCGTGGGGGAGGGGTTCTCGTGGCCCCCCGGGAGCCCCCTTCATCCCTGGGAGGCTGGAGTGGGCCATTCATCAAAGGCTGCCCGGGCCGCTGGGCGGCTGGACCCTTTGTCCTTTCCAAGTCATGGGGCTCCCCCAGAGCGGCGGCCAGCACAGGTGACCAGCAGGCTGGCAGCGACAGAGAAAATTCCAGGCGCCAGTGCCCACTGCTTCCCCTGCCGGCGACCCCAAATCTCTGCCCTCAGCGGGGCTGTTCCCAGGGTGGAATTGGGGTGAAAGATGGCCATGGTCCAGGCCGGTGAGCACGGTCAGCTTTGTCATGTAGTTGGCAGGAGGGGACCCCAGCTTCCCCGCTTGGGTCTCCAAGGCAGATCCCAAGCGGCCCAGCTGAGACAGCGGCTCTGTGAGCGCAGGTGAGGGCGTTTGAGGACCCCAGTGTCCTCGTGAATGGGCACCTGAGACACGGGGGGCTCAGTGTCGCCTGCGCCAAGGGCGGCCGCACAGGAGGACTCGTGCACCACGGAAGCCGATGGGCTGTGGGCCTGATGGCCCCCAACTGCCGGCCCCAACAGCATCCCACCACAGCGGTCTTTCTCCTGCCTGCCCTAGACCTGTGCTCGCCATATCCATGACATTTAAATGTGCGTGCTGCAGAGAAATATATACAGTAATACAGGCAATACACACGGAGGAACACGCCCTTTGCCTGTTTTTTTTTTTTTTCCCTAGAGGGTGGGCCACAACTGGCATTGCTCGGGGCTTCTACCTGGCTCTGTGCTAAGGAATCACTCCTGAGGGTGTGTGGGGACTATCTGGGGTGCCAGGGATTGACCCAGTCCTTTGTGTGCAAAGCATATGCCTTACTCGCTGAACTGTCTCTCCATTCCCATTAAAAGCAAAATGACTGAGGCTGGAGCCATAGCACAGCGGGTGTGGGCGTTTGCCTTGCACGACACCCTACCTGGGTTCAATTTCCAGCATCCCATAGGGTCCCCTGAGCACCGCCAGGAGTAATTCCTAAGTGCAGGCCAGGAGTAACCCCTCTGCATCGCTAGGTGTGACCCAAAAAGCAAAAACCAAACAAACAAAATTATTTTTGTGGCGCTGGGTTTTGAACCCAGGACCCAACATCTACAAGGCCACGAAGGGTTCTACCACGTCCCTGACCCCACTCTTTGCTTCTTAGGGCTAGTTGCCTGGTGGTTCGGTTCTTCCTTTGTTTGTTTCAAAGAAAAATCCCAGGCTGGGGCAACTCCTGAAGGATTCCCACAGACCTCCCCCCAATCTCATTGCAGTGTTCTTTCTTTCTTTCTTCTGGGTTCTGGGCCACACCCGGGTGCTCAGAGCCTCCTGCAGGCTCAAGGGTCCCTCCTGGCAGCTCTGGGTGCTGCTACCCCGGCCCCGGGAAGGGGAACTTCAAACCAGTCCATCTGGGCTTCCCAGACCAGCACCAGAGAGTTGGTCTGCCAGGAAATTCACTTTTCTACTATGAGATTTCCCCTTGTCTTCAGCAGAAGTTATTTAAGGAGGTGACTCCAGCGATGTGGGTGAGCGTCTCAGTTTTCTGGGACTCATCTGTAGAGGAAGCCTCGAGGAAGTGGGAGTGTGAAGACTGGGACCGTAAGCCAAAGGATGCAGAGTGAAACCCAGCTCCCCACGGGCTGATTGACAGAAAGAAGAGTTAAGTTCTGGGGGCCAGAGCGATAGCACAGTGGAGAGAGCATTTGCCTTGCATGCAGCCAACCTGGGTTCGATCCCTGGCATCCCATAGGGTCCCCCAAGCACCACCAGGAGTCATTCCTGAGCACAGAGCCAGGAGTAGTAACCCCTGAGCATCGCCGGGTGTGATCCCCAAAATAATATAAAATAAAATAAAAAATATAAAAAAGAGTTAAATTCTGTCTTCATATTCCTTTTTAATTTTTTAAAATTTTGTAAAGTAGTTCACAATATTTGATTACATTTAATATTCAAATGCCAATCCCACCACCATGTAACCTTCCCACCACCATATTTCAGGTGTGTCGATCCTGAACCCCAATCCCCCTCAAAGCAGAACCAGAATAATATATTTTATATTGTTTGTTATGAAAAACTGCTTAAAAAGCTACAAAAAAAGTATCCTTAGAGGAAAGAGTGTGGAGATTGTTGTATTTCACCTAGGGGCCATTGAGCCCTTCTAGAAGAGATCACTAACATGTTGTTAAAGGTTGAGCCTTGAGTGCTTTTCATATATGTATCTGTTAAAAAAAAAAGTATATTTCCCTGTAAGATTGGTTGCCTCCTACTTTGAACCCTACCAATCACGGGGCGGTAATCAGTATGGGTAGGGTGTGTGGTTTGAAGCACAGAAATAGATTCACTCCTGGGTGAGGCTCTTCCTGAGCATGTGAAGAACAGCCGTAGGTATGGCGGCACTGGGTTCTGGAGGTTTTTGGCTGTCGGGGCTGGGTCCCTGGCGGTGAGGAGGGGTCTCACCCACCCCCTTCTGGGGTGCCCTGAGTGAAACAGCCTGGCGCAGGGTCCAGCCCTGTCTTCATATTTCTGATCACAAGGCATCATCCAAATTTAAACCAAGACCCACTATCTTCTCATTTGTT